TAAATAAAATTGGATACTCAGCGTCATCTATCTTGATGCTTGGAAAACAACTAGTGTTCGCTCGAGAAAACAGAATTAAAGTTTAACATTATTTCATATTTTTAACAAATAATAAATAAATAAATAAATATATATATATATCAGATAAAAATTAAATTAGTAGATTAATAAAATAATATCATATGTAATATAACATGATTTATATATTGAAAAATTTATGCATTATAATTTTATAATTTTTTATTTTTAATATTAAATAGTTTTTTAATAATTTTATGCAATGCTTCGTCTTGAATTAACTTATTAATTAATTAATTAAGTTATGTACTTATTAATTAAGTTATTTAATCAACTCAATTTCTATTAAAAATAAAACTTATAAATATTATTAAAAGAAGAATTAACAAACATATAATGAAATATTTATCAATGAAGTTACATAATATACAGTTAAGAATCTTTCAGCACGACAATTGAATAAAAAATGCAAAAATAAGATCTATCTCTTTATTAAGACATAATTTACATAATACTAAACATACACAATAATTACACTCTTCTAATACACAAATTAAAATAATTCATTATTGGTACGAGAAGTGGTACACTTTTTACATACTATATATTGTACAGAGTGTTCCATAAAAAATTGATTTTACATAAAAAATCAAATTCATTTTCTCTGTACATATTTTTCACCAGATTTTATGACTTGAGTTAACTATTGTCCTTATTCACAAAAATAGTATTTTCTGCTATAAATTATATGCATTCTATTTTTTTGCATTTTTGCAAAAATAAAAATTTGCTAAAATTAATTTTATTTTGTATCTACTATTTTGTTTTCAAAAATTAATATTTGTATTATTTATTAAAGAACACTCTATTTAATTAATTACTGCAGAAAATATATTAATTTCAATGGTATTTCTGTTCGATTCCGTTTCGTTTCATAAAGATTAATAATCCGAATATTATTGTGAATAAGATCATGCCAATCTAATGTGAAATTTAAATTTATAGATTTAAATGAAGTAATTTAATGAAGTAAACAGGAAATAATTTTACAATCATGTAAAATGTTTCAACCTGAAAGTTAGCTGTAATCGGATTCAACTGAGCGAGACTCTCAACGAAACCAAACGAAATCTCAACCAGCCTCTCATAATGGAAAGCATACTTACAAATCTACTGTTACGATAGAATACTTTGCCGAGTATTGTCGACACTCGTTTTTATTGTCAAAAAGCACCATAAAGGCTGCTCTTGACTAGAATATTAAAAGATTGGTCGACTATTAAAAGCTTACAATTATTAACAGATATTTTATAATAATTTGCAATATTATTTTAATTTTTTTAGATTATTTGTTTAAAAACAAAATCATGATAAGTGTATAGCCCTACCAAATATATTTTATAAACTTAAATTTTCAAACAAACAATGTTTGTTTGAATTCCTCGATTATTTGTTAAATATGCAATCATTCTTAAGTTTTCAATATTCGTTTCAGTCACTTAAAATCATATAATTCAATTTGACGATTTAATTATTACATATATAAAGACACGATAATATATGATAATTTAATTTTAATTAAATTTTCGACTAGTCTTCTTGAATTTTTCAATTAGCACTTAATTAACGGATGAGGAAATAGAAATTATTTAATATTCTTTTCATAGTATTAGATTGGAAAGAAAGTTCTTGCGATTTTTAAATATTAAATTTAATTACACATATCTCAGCTCAAACAAAACTTTATTAATCAAAATAAAGATCATTGCAATCAATGCACTTTTGGCAATGAGAAACAAATTTTGTTATTCCGGTTGAATAAAATTCTGGAGTCTTGGAGGCAACAAACTCGTTGAATCGCCGTTTCAGCATCTCTCTGGGATTTGAAGCGTTTCTGCGCTCATTGTCTTCAAGACTCTCTTAACCGCTTCGAAATTTTTTAAACCACCATTATACAGTATGTTCGTTAGTGGTCCTAAGACCAAACGCGTCGCTGATATCGCGAATTGATAGTTTTTTAGTTTGAACTGAAATAGGAAAATTGTTCGAATCTGCTTCTTATCCATTATATTTTCAAGAAATCAGAAAAATTAATTTGAAAATAAATATCACAAAATTAAAATTAATATCACAAAACAAAAAATACCCTTTAAAATTATATACAAAGTCAATGTAATTTAACATCAACTTAATCGAAAATAAAGCATTTAAAATCAAAATAACAAAAATCGTAAGAATTTTTTTTCCAATCTAATATAATGACATCATTTGTTGTAAGCAGTGAATACTCACTTTGAAGGCTACACACTCATTTTTTTTACATTCAATTTATGATTCATTCTAAAGATATATTCAAATATTTTTTTCTATTACTTTCAACCTCTCTTTTACAAAATTAAAATTAAATTAGAAAACATAAATATTAATAGTATCGATATCACACCAAAATTTTCCAAATAATCTCAGATTTTTTTTTTCTCTTTGTTTCAGAAAAAATAATATCATATAATAATCAAAATGTTGAAATTCTTTTTCGCATTCTTCAATTTTATCCTGATTGAATCAATTGAAAAATAAATATGATCCAAACAAAAGAGTAACTAAAAGTAACAGGTAGTCTTCGATGATTCACAGATTGAAACGATTAATTTCAGGTGCAATGAATGTTCTCGGCACAGTTTTGTAATCTTCCGAGCCTCTCCCTGGCGTTCGTTGACTTGTGGTTCAGGGCTAGGTCCTGGCTTCGTTTGTGGCGCGTAATAATGTGCGTGCGGCTTACTTTGCTGCAAAACTGGGACGCTGCGTGCTGAAAGAAGAGACAATTGTGGGAAGAGAGGTTGAAAGCGAGATTACCACGATGCTCTGTTGTTGAACATCTTTACGTGTAGTTTCTTTTTTTCAACAATTATTGGACTTGGAATTGATGGAACTTTCCGATAGATTGCATGTTTTTTTTTTCAATTAACAAATGCGCATGAAAATGCGGATTCTAATCACGTACTGTGCTATATGAAAGATTCATTTCACACTGGCACTGTACGTGTTTAATAGCCTGCCTTTAAACGTGATAGCTCTACGCTACTGAACAAAAGTTTGAGAATCATTCTCTTGGTAATATTATTTTGTGAAAATTCAAGAAATTTTGATTAAAATTTTATAGAGTTTATAAGTAGAATAATGTTTAAATATTATATATAATATTAATATTAAATATAAGTATACATTGTTCATATTTTTATATTTTTAGTTTTATATTTAAAATATAACAATGAAGATGATGGTTCGAAATTCGTGACCAGTACAGTAATATTTACACGATTCGACAATCTATTTTTTTAATGTTTTGATTTATATTATGATAAAGATATGCATGACTTCTATACAAAAAATCGACGTGAATTTCCAAAGACCGAAGATATGAAAAGTATTAATAATTGCAAGCAATAAATGATGGAAAATTGCGTTTACCAATGATTACAGACAAATGATTGTTTTTCATCGTAGTATACAGCTTCAATTCATCGTCGCAAATAAGGCCATATGTATTAAAGCTACTCGTACGTGTTACATGTGTAATGTACACTGATTATACATCAAACATATATATATGTATATATGTGTATATTATATATAATATATATATATATATATAT